ACTAAAAAGGAGAAGGAGAGTCCAAGAGGATGAAAAATCTGAGGCTGAAGACAGAAGGCCTTTTCCTTGACTTGAGTGCAATTGTGCTTTGAGAAACAAATTGTCTTTGATCATGGAGGTAATACAGAGAGATTGGTAGCCATATTCTCAATGATCATTTTATCTCTGTTTAAAACCCATTCAAGTCTGTAGCCATTACCAAAGCTTGTGGTAGCCAATCCCCTTGCTTATCTCATTGATTTATAGTTTATTAAATTTATACCCTGCCTTTTATTTTTTGTATAAACAATTTATGCCTAGTGTACTAAATACTTCCTTTTGTCTATCTCGTATTGCCCACTAATCAGTTCAGATAACTGGAATTACAGTATTATGAGTGAAGAGGAAAAATGCCTATTGCTTTCTTCTCAATATATAACATTAATTAACTTCTATCATTTCCTGTCTCCTTTTTTCTGTATTATACAGCCCCAAATATTTGCAACTGTTCCGTATAGGGGAGTGAGTTGCTCCAAATCCTTGACTATTTGGTTGTTGTTTACATCTTTTCTTCTTCTAGACCATGTTTCCCAACCTTGGCAACTTTGATATGTCTGGACTTCAACTCCCAGAATTCCCCAGCCAGCATGGCTGTTTAGGGAATTCTGGGAGTTGAAGTCCAGACATATCAAAGTTGCCAAGGTTGAAAAACTCTGGTCTAGACTATCCTTCAAGCTGTAGCTTGGTTATTGCATCTGCACCAGCTCTTCACTTTGAATTTTTTTTTTTAATTGAGCACATTTAAAAAGAAAAGCTGTTTAAAAAACAAAACAATTCCAAAACCCTTGAATTGAGTTTATGCTTGAGAAACAGTTGGTCGACACAATTCTGATGGTTTGTGTGCTTCAGTTCCTTTTTTTCCCATTGCTTCTTAACTCCCCTGAACTCCTATGAAAGAATAAAACAGCTGGGTAGCGATGGTAATAGAATGTACAAAGCTGAACTGAGTGACCACCAAATAAAGTGAATCCATCAAAGGAAGAGAATACCATCTCTGCAACAAGTGGGATAGAGAAAAGAGGGGGGAAAAGGGAAGCGTCTGAAAAATAAATAGTGAACACCTGTGCTGCATAAATTAACCAGCTGGTTAGCAATTTTTCTTTTGACCTATCGGAAGGGTGACTGTTGCGAAGCATTAATAAGACACATTGGCTTTGAGAGATCCCTTTGTTGGTACCATTAATTAATGAATGACACTAGATAATGTTCAGAATTTACACCACAATTGGCGCTGCAGATGTATCCTTTTTTGTGAGATAGCAGTACCAAAAAAGGAGTGGGGGGAGATCCCCCGATCTGTACAAAGATTTAAATGTGAACATTTTTTTTCCTTCCTTCAGTTTTTATTGCCACAGCTATTCTGTTTGAAAATTATGTCTTTAGGTGAAAAATATTTGGGATGGTGATTATAAATTTGCTAGGAACCTTTCAGATTCGTACTGTAGATTCAGGAGGGTTAGTTGTTTTTTAATTAATTGTTGTTGCAGGATTATTAGGTAGAAGTATATGCTTATGAGGCTTGCAATGAACAATGTTCAGTTCTTTGTGGACAAAGTTGATTGGATTTACCCCAGTTGGACTCCAGTGTTTGGGCAGGCCTTAGGGAGATGGCCTTGGCAACTGGTTGTCATGTTAATATGGATTCTTTTCAGCTTGTGGACCTCAAGGATGTAGACAGGGAATATGGAGAGATGAGAGCCAGGGTTTGGTTATTCAACCTTTGGCCTTCCTAGTTACTTAAATCAGCTAGGATGGGACTGGCCCTACATTAAAAGATGATCAACACCTTCTTGAGATCAAGATGTGCACCCTTCATGCTTAAAGGATATAGGTATAAAACCTTTATTGGAAAAAGTCCTCCTTAGATCTATAAGATCTTTTTATCATTGGCCACCCTCAATTATTCCATTCTTGGATTGAGAAAGCAGTGAGCTCTTAGCTTTGAATGCATCTAGATGAAACTGACTTTCTGGACCTATTTCAATTAGTGCTTCATCTGCCATAAGGTACTACCTTGGTTGTCTCAGCAGATGACCTGTGCTGGAAACTAGATGAGGGAAATGCAACCTTCCTCTTTCTCTTTAATCTCTTGGTGGCTTTCAGTATCATTGACCAGATACTTCTGGGTTCTCTGGCAGGTTGAACTTTTGCTGTTTTGCTGTGGTTCTGGTCCAGGCAAGACATGTCCAGAGGTGGTGTTAGAAGACTATTGTTCAACACTTAGTTATTGACCTATGGTGTTCTGTGGTGTTCTGTCTATATTGTTTAACATCACAGTGGTAGGTTGAGGCCATTCAAACCTTTGGAGTGAGATGCCATCAATATGTAATTGTACCCAACTCTGCTGTTTCCAATTTTCTAACTTCACAAAAGCAATCAATATCTTTGAACATTGCCTAGCCTTCATAATGGTTATAAAGGTTAGGCACTGATCATAATGAGGAAGGCCAAAATTCAATTCAGATAAGACGGAAGGGTTTTTGGTTGGACAAAAGCTGAACTCAGTGGAAGTGAAAGTTGTTCTAGACAGCCGCTCAGAAAGAGCAGCTACATGATCTAGGAGGGCTCCTTGACCTCCATCTGTCACTGGATTTGCAGGTTGAAAAATGATACGCCTGTGTTATTTATCAGCTGTGTTAAAATAATAAAGCTGATGTTAGAAGATCCCATAATCATTGCTAATGCCATTTCCAAAATAATACCTGAAGTCAAGGCTGTGGTATGATGCTCAAGATCTCTTTTTTAAATACTTGGAGCTCCCCTGGATTTCAGTGCCATAGTTGCTGAAAATGCGTGGTGATGCTTCTTGCTTTTTAACAGAGAAACAGGTGAAAGCTATTGTATCAGCCATATAAACTTTAACCAGTTAAAACAACAACTCAACTACCACCGCCCCCCAAACCAAACCAAACCAAACCCAGGGGGTGGGGGTAGAGAAGAATAACAATCCTGGCCCAATTCAGGTATAAAATTCCTCTATTTACTTGGTAACGTCATTCATGTACTATGGCTTTTGCCACTCTCCAGTTTCAAAAGTGTTCATTTTAGCCCGGGTCACCAAAATGTTGTCCAGCTTCAGGTGAAAAATATGGCCCCACTCTGGTCCTCCTAGTTAAGTATTAAATGTTATTTCAGCGTGGCTAATGTAGGGCTTTCTCTTGTGACTGTAATTTGATTATGATTGGACAAAAAATTAAATAGCTTTTATCTCCTGATGACTGAAAATATTCTGCCATTTGTTGATAGCTCACGTTTTATTTCTGCTTCATATCAGATCACCTTCCAAATTACAGTTCATTAGTCATTGGCTAAGTTTAAAACATTTATTTGGTGGATTAAAGGCTAAGTGGTTAAGGGATTAAAAAATAGAATGCAAAATTGTTGCTGACCTCTTTCTTCCCTCCCTCCCTCCCGAATAATGACACTACCTTGATTTATCTCTCTTGGTATAAACTTAAAACTCTAGTTCAAAGTATCTGTTACAGAAGTAGCTTTTATTGAAGTTGAAGATTAAAAAAAAAGGTGAACTCAAATGCAGAGTATGGACTTAGAAGAATGTTAAGGATTTTGCCACTGAGAAAAAAAGGGGGTTTCTAAAGTGTTGCTATCTGTACTAACCTCATTCGTTTGACTTGCTTACCTTTATTGTGATAGGTAGTTAAGGAGTAATGGGATAGAAGCAAGATATCTTCGTTACATTTTGTTTAAAGGCCACAGACGGAGAATGTTACAGATAATTTGTGGCTTTATTTCCTATTTGTTGTAAACAAAGCAAATAAACTTTTAATGATATTCCAAAATGTTCCATTTAGTTAATCCTTCAGTCTCCTTTGAGTTTCCAGTGCCAAGAGCCAACAAACGGTAGTGATTAAAGTATTGGACCAGACGTGGGAGGTTCCAGGTTGAAGTCCACTCTCAGCTACAGTGGCTCATTGGTAATGTTGGGCTAGTCCCCAACCTTCATCACAGGTGGTTGTGGAGATAAAATGAGATCCTTATGAAAAGTGCTTTGAGCTCCTGGAGAGAAAACAGGATACACATATACACCTTCTTGCCAGTGCAGTTTTTGTCCCCTCTTAGACACTTTCTTGAGCTTTTTATGAATTACAGTAGTTTAATCCGTGGTTGAGGATATGGCTTCTGGAATAGCATCCAGATTTCATTTTCATGTTGTTATAGCCCCTACGATGGTTGACCAAAGCAGGAAGACATAGCTCTTGTTGTATTTGCTAAGTTGGTGAAGCACCTGCTTGCACTGGACAGTTACAAATTAGTTTTTGGGAAACTGATTTTCTTTCTCTCTTTAAAAAAACCAGCCAGGATTCAACAGAAGATGTTGAAGAAGCGGGTGCACTACCAAGACCATCTGCCTCAACAACCTCTGCCTTTAGTACAGTTTCAGAGGAAACCTCTGCTATCACAGAGGTTGAGAGTGGATGCTTGCCTTTAGATGGTGAGACCAAAAGTGAAGAAACCTGCCCCCAAAGTGTTACAGGAAGCGATCCAGAACGTACCAATGACAAGGAGGGTACAGAAGTGACCTCTCTGGAAGAGAAATACTGCAACAGCATCATGCCTGATCCATCAGTATCAGAAACAGGAAACAATAAATCTGAATTAATCACTGAAGCTGCAGCTGAACCAAGGGAAATTACATATCCCCAAATTGTAAAAGAAGGGAGACGGTTTAATATTGATTTAATTTCTAAGGTAGGGGACTTACTATATTTTTCTATTCTAAAAAGAATCACTTCTGCTTTATTAAAAATATTTATTGCGAAGTTTCAAAAGCTAAGAATGTAATCGTAATCCAACCCTGTGCTTTTTAAGGAGCATAGGTCACTTTAGAAAAGAACATTTGGCATCTTTAAAGAAGGGTTCGTTTACACACGCACACAAATGTTCTCATAGAAAGAGAGAAGGAAAAGCTAAAAATGTATTTTGATTGTGTGCTTCCAGGAAACAAAAACTAGTTTCCCAAACAGTAGCTGATCTATCCCACACATCCCATATTGCAGAGCCTAATGAGGTTTCAAACTTCATGGGACTTTCCAAAAGTAATGTGGGGTAGTATAGAATAGTCTCCTACCCAAAGAAAGTGATAGCTATTCCGTACTGAGCATACCAAACTGTGCTCATAAATAGTGCAATCCCATGCACCCTAACCCTAGGTGAATCTCACAATAGAGTTTATTTCCTAGGGTTTCCAGTGTGGTCTTATAGTCCTCTAATGCTTAACTGGATGGGTATGGAACCAACCTAGCCTTGGTTAAGACCCACCTCCCATCCAACTAAATTGCTTACTCAGAGCTCTCCGTGGTCCTGTTGTTTTGGCCTGTTGCCATTCATGGTCTTCTGCCCAAGTTCCAGGCAGGGCACAGCTTTGATTTGGAAAGTGAATTCCCATGTACCTCTCTGGCCTTGCAAAGTTATCTCCTTGTGGCTACAACTACTTTGAGAATGATGGCATGTTGTAACTAACTTTCTCCAGTGGAGCATTGCCTTTTTAAAGTTAGGTCATCCATCTTGTGCTAGGGGTTTTACATTCATGTCCTTCCAAGAATGTATAATAAATTTGTAGCTTATACAAAGTGAGCAAAGGTATTAGAAGATTAAGTTTTATGGTTTCAACTTGTAACCGTTGCAAGCTTGCTGAGATATTGAAGAAATAAGGACAGCCGTTAAGTTTGGAGTCCAAACACAAAAATCGGGGGAGATGATGTAGAAAGGATATGTGGAATATTAGAAAGAAGATTAAAACCTCTGAAAGTCTTGTCAAATATATTCTTCCAGAGTAGGTATCTAGTTATTTTTTATGATTTGAAGGGTGTGTGTGTGTGTGTGTGTGCGCACGCGCATTTGCAAGCTTGCTGAGATATTGTGTGTGCGCACGCGCATTTGCAAGCTTGCTGAGATATTCGCACGCGCATGTTGAATAGCTCCAGTAAGAATCTTTTTAATTTACTTCCAGATACTTTTTGATTTAGTTCCAGGTAATTTCTTTTAATTCTAAGAAAGTGTCTTTTCAGTTCTTCTCCCAGTGGAATAGTATTCCTTTGAAGAAGAATATTATTTCTGTGGTGTCCTTTCAGCCTTCTAGGTTATTTCCTCCAGCTGCATAGAGCTGATGTTTGCTGCTACTTTACAAAAACTTACTATTTATTTTGAAGACTATTTGTGTTCTCTTTTCTTTTCCATCCAATTCCTCAGCCAGAAGAGACACTTTTAATTTGCTAAATACTTTGCATTCTTGATAGTGAGTTCCTTGTAAGCAATAATATCAAGGAATAAAAAATATATTTAAATAGCAACCATATTTTCTTGAAAAATGTGTATATTATTTTTTTTTTCTTGCAGCTACTCTATTCCCGAGGGTTGCTGATTGACCTCCTAATTAAGTCAAATGTCAGTCGATATGCCGAGTTCAAAAATGTTACCCACATTCTTGTATTTCGAGATGGAAAAGTGGAACAGGTATACTAATAAGTAAAACTACAAAATTGAACTCATGGCTCATTTGAAATAAATGTGGTCCTGATGTGGTCCTGATGTTTCTGTCCCCTTACTTGTATCTCTTCAGTATCTTCCTTTGTTCTTGTAAAAGCAATAGCAATAGAAAAACATCCAACATTACATATATTATCATACTGTTTATACCAGCCTTCCCTAGCTTGGTGCCGTCAAGAGTTATTTGGAGTAACTGGTACAACTTAGAAAGGATTATTCTTTTTGCAGTCAGCCACAGTTGGTATGCACTGATGGGGAAATAGGGAAATAATGAAAAGATAAGCCCCAATAATTCTGGTTTTCTGAGACAAAAGATGACGTTCATGAGGGGCATAAACATCCAGCATTGCTGTAAGGTTGATTAAAACTCAAGACCATTGTGCAACCTGAGATCAAGCCTTTGTAGTGAGTACAGCATATAACTAGCTTATTATGTGGGAAGGGAAAAGGCTATGAGGCAGCAGACGTGAATATTTTAATGATACCTTAGGGCAGAGAAATTAGGAAGTTCTGCACTGATTTTAACTCTCAAGTTCACCAAGCCAGGAATGGTAGATGTGAAAGGTGAAAGGGATTATTAGACATGAAAAGTACCAAAACCAGGCAATTATTCAAAAAATATGTGACCTCGTTGGCTCCTAAGGTGCTGAAATCACTTTATATGCAATAAGCCAGTACCTTGTCATGGTTAAACCTGAATATAATAAATGGTTGAAAGCATGACTGTTGACTGGTTCAGTGTAACCTTCCCTTCTTTTGGCTACATCTTTGGACCATGGAAGTGTACCTCCTCAAACTCTTTTCTAGTACAATTTCCAGGCATCTGCCCTTATCATAGTTAAAGAGTGGCAATGGGTTGTATCCAAAGACGTCCTTCAAGGCGACCCTATTCCAACAATTGACATCAGTCCAATAAAGGTTAACCCAAACCAAGATTTCCTCTTAAACAGACGTTTGAGGAGCAAATCCTGTCTGAGAGAAGGCAGAACCAATATTTGTTTACCAAGGGGAAACTCAAGAAAGAGGGTTCAGTCCCTCAGCCTGCCCCTAAATTGAGATAGCAAGAATGTGATATCTGTAAGAGAAGATTATGAGTTTATAAAATCCCTTTTTTCCCCCTTCAACTTTTTCAAGTTCTGTGAGGCACTTCTATCTCTTTGCTTGAGCTGAGTGGAGATGAACCAAAACTCTGTTTCAGGTTCCATGTTCCAGAGCAGATATTTTCAATAACAAACAGCTGACTATGGTGGAAAAAAGAATGCTGATGAGATTTCTGACCTTTTGCCTGGATTTTGAACAGCGCCATGACGAATATCAAGGTTTGTGTCTTTTGTTAAATGGTGAAATCCTCTGTGTCCTTATTTTTCAGTTAATTGAACTTCTCTATAAACCTCTTGATTTTGACATCCTTTTTATCATGGGAGTATGTACTGTAAGGAAGTGCTAGGTGGCTGGGCTTTCCAAGTACTTTACATTGTTGGGTTGCTGTTGTGAAGCTGCCCTGGCCATTCATGATGATGGTGGAGACCTATCGACAACTCTGAACTCAGTCTGGGCATTGGCATTCATGCTGCCCATGTTTGCCAACCCTAGTTCTTAGAGTGGAGATGTTGGTACCTTGGGATAAGATAACACAGACATAGGATGGGTGGAAGTTTCTGTGTTTAATTAGCTCACCCTAAACCAAAATGAGGCTTACATGTTTATAGGTTACAAGATTGAGCTGAAGTGCTGTGATTTGTAAGCTAAGGTTTTAGGACATTGCATGTACTATATGATACATAAATCTAGTCAGTTGTTTATTCTAGGGATGGGCAATCTTTTGGGCCATTTCCAGGGCTTACACAACAGTTGTCTTCACTTTCTCATCTGAACATGGCAGGAAATTGTGCCATTAGATTTTAGCAATCAGGTTCAGGAGGGGCTCTGAAGGCCACATGTATGTGGTTCTGGATGCTCAAGTTGCCCATACTTGTTTACTCAGTAAGCCATAATTGAGCAGCCTGTGTTTTCTTGACGTATATAAAGACAGCCATGCTGAAGTTACTCTCTTCTCTTCTCTTCTCTTCTCTTCTCTTCTCTTCTCTTCTCTTCTCTTCTCTTCTCTTCTCTTCTTTTTTCTTTTCTTTTCTTCTGAGACAGCTCAGAAGGATTGCAAGTTTTCTGACTATTTAAAAACCCAGAAGTTAACTCCCAACCTGCAGCATTTTATTCTGCATTCCATTGCAATGGTCTCAGAGGCCGATTGCTGCACCATAGATGGGCTGAAGGCAACCCAAAAGTTTCTGCAGTGCCTCGGACGCTACGGCAACACTCCATTTTTATTTCCTTTATATGGTCAAGGGGAGATCCCTCAGTGTTTTTGTCGGTAAGTGTATTTCCTTTTTTCTTTTTAGGCACTCTAGTTCCTGAAGTGGAAAATATGCATCTCCTGTTTAAGAAAATATGGCTTGTAGGCCTCTTGTTGTTTTGGAGTTTGGAGGAACATAGGTAGAGAAGGTGACTCTTAGTTAGCCAACCTGGATGGTTTACAGCATCATTCTCTGTTAGTAATTCAAGATTTAAAATGTAAAACTCTAATTCAGAGTTGTCTCTTGGAGTAGTGGTGAACTAGGGCATGGGAAAGGTTTTGAATCCAAAATGCTTTGAGGTCAAAATGGTACCTGCTCCAATCTTTCTGGAAGTGTTCTATCTGAACATGAAATGCCATGGAGGTGCTTCCAGTAAAATCAGAACAACTCAATTTGAACTCAGAACAGCTGTTTCAAATTTGAAATGTATGGCGTGCCACAGTGGTAAAACAGTTTCTCATCTAAAGAGTTAGCAGCTGCCATTCAGAGATGCCTTTGTTCCATCCTTTGACCCCAGCCATTCTCACTACTAAAAGTTTCTAGTATATTTAGAAAGCTGTCTGTGCTTGTTTGCTTGTTTATGACAGTTATAAGGCCATCCCCCTCTCTCTTTCTCTTTCTCTCTCTCTCTCTCTGGTGCATATCAATGAAAACAAAAACAAATCAAATGGAAAAATAATATAAAACTGAATTACCAAACCACAGTCATACATAAGCCCATAGCTGAGGTTGGAAATAACAAATACTCACTCCAAGAGTACAAGAGGGGTTCATTTACCCTCCTAACCCAGTCAATGGGAACAAAGCCAGGTAGGTCTTCATAGTGCTATGAAAGGCCAAAAGAGTTGGGGTCACCCAACTTTATGGAGGTGGGGAGAGGAGCTCTTTCCAAAGGGTGGGCACAGCAACAGAGAAGGCACATCTCCTAGCTGTATTACATGATACAGCTTGAGAGAAGGGACCTGAGAAGGCACATCTCCTAGCTCATTAGATGGCACAGCTTGAGAGAAGGGACCTGAAGCATGTCCACCCTGTGCAATCTAATGGGCTGGGCAGAAATAGTTAAGAGATGGGCAGTCCCACAAATAATGTGACCTTTCGCATGTAGGTCCTTATAGGTGATCACCAGCACTTTGAATTATACCTGGAGGCCTATCAGGAGCCAGTGCAATTCACAGAGTAGTGACGTTACATGGGCACATTCCTCTGTACTCATAACTACCTAAGTAAACCATGGCTTAGCATCTTATCCTCACAGTGTGCTTCAGTGGAGCACCCAAAAAAAATGCTTGAGAGAACAGCATTGGTACCACGGGCCATTGGTAGCAGTCGAAAGAGACCCAGTCTGGCAAATGCTCATTAAAATTTAAATATGTTTGAAGCAAATAACTGTTATGCAAAAAATGAGTATATTTGTTTACAGTGCTCTCTTAGTGCATATCCATCCACTCAGAAGTCAATGATTCTTTCTTCAAAGATTCTCTCCCCCCGCCCCCCATCTTAGAATTCTTTTATTTTCTGAATACATGGCTTTCTTCATCCTTGTATCCTGGTATGTGTTTCCAGTTCTGCACGGCATGTAAGATTTCTAGGAATCGTGTTCAACCAGTCTACCAAGTGGTAACATCTCTGCCTATACATCATACCCTACAATTTTTATCGCCAGGTTATCAGAATAAGGTGTCACTTGTCCTGTGATTTCTAACCACCTCTTCATATTCTGTTTTAATGTAACCCTCTTAAGCGTTCCTTGCAGTCAGTTATCCTGTGTGTTCTCATCAAGGCTACTGTTATAAATGGCATGCATGCATATTTATGTGAATGATTCAAAGACATTTGTAAGTCATATCCTTGCATTCTGAATGAGCTCTGCATCAACTCTGCAATGCTCTCTAGAACTGTGTTGGTCCCTGGAGTGTATGTAAAATCTGCATTTCTTCTGAAACAGTTGTGAGCCAACTGACTTCTTTTTTTATTGCTCTGTAACTCCTATTGACAAGGGTGCCCATTTTTAGATGCAGAACTGATCAAAATGGAGTTTATGCAATAGCAGTGGTTGTTTCTTCATATTTGCTGTTTAACCCTGGTTGCGGATCTAACCAATACATAGTTTCTTCCTGATGAATGGGTTTTTTTTCATGTCTGAGTGAATTGGAACCAAAGATTCCTTTCCTTTGATGGAAGGAGCCTCCCTTTAATGGAGAGTGGGAACTTCTGACAACTTTATGGTGGGGTTCGAAACACATTTGGCAATAAAAATGAAAGCATTCCATTGATCCAAAAAAGGGGCAATCAGCTGTTTTTCTTCCTGGAGGCTGTTTTTCTTCTCTCCTCTTCTCTTTGTCCCCAAAGCCACACAAAAAGGTATTTACACATTTCTAGAGTACAAAAGAAGGGCTTGATGTTTAGAGAAAAGTCTCTGAATTGCTATCTGTCATGGGAATATTGTAAAGAATAATAATACAATGCTGGTTAACAAGGTTTAGTCTGAGCACAGTAATATCAGATAGTTGCAATTAGTGAATTTGTCAGTACTGTACTGCTTTCTCTAAAAATAAAACCCAATAAAGCTGTACACTGGAGTGGTGCCCACCTCTCTGCTTCCTAAAGGAGAAGCTGCAGTGTGTATGGTGAATTAGAGTTAAGGGGTGGGAAATTTGCTACATCTCCAGTTTGATGCTGATAATCCTAGGTAGCATTCAGCTTTTGCCAAGACTAAGGCCATGGAGCTCTACTGATATCTGCTTCTTTCTTTTCTTTGTCCTCAGTGTAGGATGGCAACTTTCTTTGTACATGCTCAGCCCATAGGAAAGCTGGTGAAAAGTACAGTATCTTAGCTAACTTGGTTTCTTAGTAAAAGACCCTTTAATTCAGCCTTCTCCAACTGCAGTAGACTTCTTCCCATTACCCCAGACAATCCTGGCACTGCCATATCATGTTGGAGGGTCCAAAGTTCATTAAGACTGATTTATCATTAGTGTGCATGTTTTAATGTGTTACGTCTTCTGTCTACAAACATAAGATCCCTCTATCTCATATATTTGAGAATTTACAGATATGCAGAGGTGTCAATTGGCAATTTAATAATAAATGACACACAGTTTCAAGCATTATGAAAATCTTTATAACCGATTTTAAAGAGCTGATTTGCATTCTGTACATATCTCACATGGAAGGTAGGGGGAAGAGGAGAATGGTAGCTTCACATTGAGTTGCAGAAAGAAGAATCTTAGTTGGTGGGGTGGGTGGCCAGGACATCAGCACAAAATTGAACAAATGGAATCCAGAGCAGCTTCTGACATCATCATTATCTTCAAGAAAACTTCTGGGCCCTATTTGAGTCCCATGGATTTTTTTAGGAAACAAAAATTACATGTGGCTGCAACCCAAGTCTTGGCTTCTGGCTTCTTGCCCAGTTACCCAGAAAAGCAGATGAAGGTAACCTGAAGGAGTAGGCAGGTTTATGCCTATACTTCTGTAGAAAAGTGGGGAACAACCTTACCATTTTGTCTTCTGATGAATTAGTTTTCTCACTAGCCATGCCCACTGGGGAAGCCATTTTGTAAGAGTGCCTATGATGCGCTCCAGAAATTTTAGGGATGCCCACTGATCCCAAAAGGAGGACCTTACCTCATATCTATCAAACCTAACATCTTTCTAGGTATTGCAGGTATTGATGGTTTAGGTTATTCCTTCATAGTAAGGCCTGGGAAGTATTGGAGAATGGGCTTCTTCATTTTCCATCTTGAGTCTGGTGCAATTTTGTGTGGTTTCCAAATCATCTGGAGGTGTGTGTAGAATATTTCCTGGCTATATCTGATTAGCCTCCAGGAAAGTAGATTTTCAGGATTGGCTTGCAAAATGAAGAATGAGCATAAACTAGCATTTGCTCACACTTAATTCCTTAGTTTGGAATAAAAAAGTTCAGACAGTCTAACTCCGTTCCAAAGGATCAACCCGTTAAAGATGAAGCATCACTCATGTTAGACCCCATGTTTTCTATGCCGAAAGTGCAAGGATTCATTCCCTGGCATCTGTACATACTGTGCCTACTCATGGAAAGATCTATTCTGAGTCTCAAGAACTCCTACTAGTTGGGCTACGTGGGCTGGATTACTTGGACAAATAGCCTAACTTGATATGAACCGGCTTTCTACATATGTTGCTTGTTTGTTTTTTTAACTTT